TGGAGAGAAGCCAGGGTATCAGCTTGTTCCCCCCTCCCACCCCTCTCTGTGTACAGTAGAGCCTCCTGTCCTGACTGGAGGAGCTCACCCAGCTGGTGGGATCTTGACACAGGACACAACCCATCATCCTCTCCTCCTCCCCTCCTCCGCAGGGGACAAGGCCATCCGGATCGAAAACGCCAACTACGGACGCCGGGACCGCTACCTCTGCAGCAGTGGCCGGCCCGCAGACCAACTGACCAACGTCCAGTGTGTCCTGTCCGGGACGCTCGGCCTCCTGAGGAAGAGGTCAGGGGCGTCGCTCAAACCAGCCACTCTGCTGATCGCGTCAACCAGCCCGTCAGTCAGGCAATCGGTTCAAGCTGATCACTTACCAAATCTGAATCAATCAGTCAATCCGTCCGGCAGCTGATCCATCTATCAGCCAACCGCTTAAACAGATCTATCAATCCACTCATCAGCCAGCAGGCCGACTCCGTCAATCAGCCAAACCACCTTACTAATCCGTCGATCCAATCCAAATCTAATAATAGATCAGTTATTATTATCAACTATGCTGCCAATCAGTGTTATTCTGATCGATGCGCCTTTCGATGCTCATGGCACTGGCAGGGGGGTACTCTGTGTTCAGCTGTGCGTTAAAAACAAGTTCAGCAAATACAGACATAAACCAGGACAGACTGCGCGTATACAGACATATATTCCTCAAATAAATCCCACAACAGAACGAGTTACAGGTGGGAGAGGTCACGTCACCTCTGCCCCTGAGCAATGCGATCGCGGGAAACGAGAAAGGTATTCACGCCCCCTCCAGGACGAAATGTGCTGTCACTAGTGGAACTACATGTGCAGGACCCGTGTTTCCCGGGGGGCTGTGGAAGGAGGTAACACCAGTCCTTCAGCAGTGGGATGTGTTCAGGATTAAGGTCCGAGAGCTGCAGGGTTTCCTGACAGCTCTAGGACAACTCTCAAGGGCCTAAGAGTGAGCAAGCTATAGAAATGTGCAGAACGCTGAAACTACCACCTGACACTGTCCATTTCGAAGACCATCCTCCGGGACCCTGGATCGGAGAACTAGGTCACCCTGCCAGGAGAGGGACACAGGTGCGCTCGGGGTACAGAGCGGGGAGCCCCCTCTCCTGCAGGAATGGCCCCTTCGCCTTGCACAGCCGCTGCCAGTCGAGCCTGGCCAAAAAAAAAAGCAGCGGCGAAACGATCAACCCCGTGAAACACGATAGTCGTCCATCAGTTGTCCCGCGGCTCCCTGGGATTTGTAGTTCTTGCAGGCTTTCCAGAACTACAAGTCCCTGGGAGGGGGTGTCCCCTCGTGCAGTTCTGCCCACCAGCTCCTGATAACCGGCTGCTCGACCCCACAGGTGCGATGGGAACACACAGTGCACGGTCCCGGCTACTAACGACGTGTTCTCGGACCCCTGCGTCGGCACCTATAAGTACCTGGACGTCACGTACACCTGCAGCCCGTGGTGAGTACGGCTTCCAGCTTCCTGACCCCGAGGCAGACCTCCGTATACCACCCACAGCACACAGGTCGCAAGGCACCTGTCACATGACCTGGGACACAGGGGTCGCATTAGAACCCGTCACATGACACGGGACACAGGGGTCGCATTAGAACCCGTCACATGACCTGGGACACAGGGGTCGCATTGGAACCCGTCACATGACCTGGGACACAGGGGTCGCATTAGAACCCGTCACATGACTTGGGACACAGGGGTCGCATTAGAACCCGTCACATGACCTGGGACACAGAGGTCGCATTAGAACC